ACAGTTGAGATGTAGAACTATATTAGGAGGGGTGTACAGAGAAATCTTCCATTCCCCAGTGAGGAGTAACTAGTCTCTGTGTCCTACCTAGTAAGGTATATGTGGATCCACACTGACTGTTTCCTGTCTGGTTCTAAGTTTTCCTTGATGTTCTCTATCTATTCTAATTTGTTTGTTTGTTTGTTTGTTTGGGGGGCTCCAGAGTGACCCTGATGGTCATTGCAAGAGAGGGTGGGGATCTAAAGTTGGAACTAAGTAAGGACTTTAATCATTGGTTATAAGTTACTTTTATTGAGGGGCTGGCATTATGGTATTGTGCGTGAAGCCATAGCTTATGATGCCAGCATCCCATATGAGCAATAGTTCTTACCCCCACTGCCCCACTTCTGATCCAACTCTCTGCTAATGTTTCTAGGAAAAAGCAGTGGAAGATGGACCAAATGCCTGGGCCACTTGTTACCTATATGGGAGACCCAGATGAAGCTCCTGTTTCCTGGCATCATTGTGGCCCTCTGAGGAGTAAACCAGCAGATAAAAGAGCTTCTCTCTCTTTCTCTCTCTCTCTTTCTCTCTCTCTCTCTCTCTCTCTCACACACACACACACACACACACACACAGAGTAACTCAAATAAGAGAGAAAAAATTAAAGAATAAAAGGGGGCCAGCATTGTGGCACAACAGCTTAGACTGACACCTGGGAAGCCAGAATGACATCCGAGCACTGATTCAAGCCCCAATTAGTCCATTTCTGATCCAACTCCCTTCTAATGCTCCTGGAAAAGCAATGGAGGATCATCCAGGTACTTGGGTACTTGCATCTACATGGAAACCCAAGTGGAATTCCAGGTTCCCAGTCCTGGCTTTAGCCAGGATTATAACCACTTGGGGAGTGAACCAGTGAATAGAATATCCCTCTATCTCTCCACCTGTCACTTTGATTTCCAAATAAATAAGTAAATTCAAAATAAATATAAATAAATAAATTTATTGAATAAAACCATATGCCATGATGTAGTATAGAAAATTTAAGTATAATTAAAATGTCAGTTCTCCCAGATGAATATATAAAGTTAATACAATTATAATTCCATCCCATAATTTGTATTGCTTTATGCTTATTCTTTATGCTTATGTATTCTTTATGCTTAGACTAAAAATACATGTCTAAGAATATCTGAGAAAGCTATATAAAAGAAAAAGTAGTTAATGATACCTGCCTCACTAGATTTAAAATGTATTTGGAAGCCGTTGTAACAAAAATGCTTTGATGATGGCATAAGAATAGGAAAACAGTCCAGTGGAACAAAATCAAATGTAGAAATATAGACCAGTAGTTATTGAGATTTTGATACGTATTAAAGTTTGCAATACAATTCAGTTTGAAGGAGGTCACTTATTCAATACAAGAGTCTAGGGGGTGGACAGCTGGCCTAGCAATTAACATGCTAATGTCTCTTGTAACAATGTCTGGATTTAGTATCCGGATCTAGTTCCTGCTCCAGCTTCCTACTAATACAGACTGTGGGAGCTGGCAGCAATGGCTCAAGAAATTGAGTTCCTGCCATTCACATGGGAGAGGTGAATTGTGTCCCTGGGTCATAGATGTGGCTCCAACCTAGCTCTGGAACCAGCTCTGGGCTGTGTGTAGTTAGGGAATAAATTCTGGGCATATCCAAGGAATACATATCCAAAGTAACCCACATTACTTCTAAAGCAGCAGAAAATGAGTAACAAGAATGCCTTTCTATGGATAAAGAGTTGAATAAATTATATCTACACTATGAAATAATATACATATGTTAAAGGGAATTAATTAGACCTGCACCAGTAAACTTGGGCAGATTTTATTGTCAAGTAAGAAAAGAAATAAACTCCCAGCTGTAGGCACAGGACTAGGTTGCACTGTACCTAGCCAAGTGTTACACTGCTGAGAGAAAAGCAGCTAATAGCTGGCGGGCATTCTGGACCTGGTTAATACCAAATTTGTGTTAACTATACCAGTGTGCCAGCATATATGCCTGTTCTTTTTTCTTTTCTTTTCTTTCTTTCTTTCTTTTTTTTTTTTTTTTGATATGTGAGGGGCAGCTGTGGCATGCCAGCAAACAGGGTCTGAAGATCCGAGCATGTCCAGATCCCAGGCAGGTGAGCAGGGCCCCAGGCCAGCACAACACATTGCCAAAGGACTGAGCTTGGGGATCTGCACCCTCACAGGCATGTGGGAGTGTGAATTGCTCAGAGAAGGGGGCTAGAGATGTGTGGGAATACTGCTAAGGGAGAACATGACAAGTGAGAAACTTTCACCAAACAGGCTATTGCTCTTGCCGGTAAACGAAGGTGCTGAGACCAGGTGGTTTGGAGGAGGGAAATTGGAGGTCCTTTCAGGGCCAAACCAATACACAGGCCCATGTGAGAGACCCGAGCTGGGCTTGTTGGTATCAACCAACATCTACTGGTGCACATGGAAGCTATGGATGGGGATCTTACCTGGCAGGGTTCAACCACAGTAACCACCAATGAGTGCCAGAGAAGGGGGTAAGCCACGTTAAGCCGGGCCATGACACCCACCAGCATGCAAGACAGAACCTTGTCTGGAAACAGATTCTGTGGGGGATCTGTGGGCTCACCCCTATAGGACTGCCATACTACCTGGTTTGCTCAAGGGCTGGGGGTGGTGATGAGCCAAGCTAGGCATGACAATAGAACTCACTAACACTCATAGATACTGGGGTTGGGAACAGGCTGGGCTGTTCCAGGCTGCAGCACCCATAGGCACACACAAGAACGGGGGGTGGGGGGGGGGGGACAGGGATGGCAGATGGGCCACAACATCCACCAGCACACTAAAAGGCTGACACTGGGGGCAGACTGCTGGGTAAGGACTTACCACCTACTGGCACACATGAGATCTGGGTTTAGGGTAGACCTGGTAGGGGAACTTAGAGAACTCCCCTGGTGGGCTGTAGTTCCCACTAGTGAGCACATGAGTCTGCTAGGTACTGGTCAGGCCAGGGAGGATTGCTTCACTTGTCGGCAGGCATGTGGGTCGGCTCTGTATGGGCTGGACTGGGCAAAGCTAGGCCAAACTATAGCACACTAGCATGTATGGGAGCCAGGATGTTGTGTGGGCCATGCTGTACCAAGCTATTACATCTACTAGTTCACATGAAAGCAAGGAATGGAGACAGACTGAGCAAGGCTAGGCTGTAGCACCCACCAGTGAGAGCTGGGATGGGGAACAGGCCAGGCCAGGCCAGGCTGCAGCCTCTGATGGCAAAGGCCAAGCCAGGTAATGGGTTCTACCTTGCTGGGTCAGAGTAACCACCAGAATGTGCAAGATCTGTGGCTGGGAGTGGCCTGGTGGGGGTGGGGGGGGAGAGGGCAGGGGGATGCCCCAGTTAGGCTATGGTTCCCACTAGTGAGTGCAAGAGCTGGAATGGAGCAAAAACTAGGCTGGGTGTGGCCAGTTTAGTATTTGTGTGGACTGAGTCTAGGGTTTGCCAGACTGGACTGGCTCTAGTACCTATTGGTACTCCTGAGAGCCAGAATGGGTATAGATTGAGTTGGGCTAGGTCTCAGCACCAGGCAGAGCTGGGCTGTAGCACCCAACAGTAAAAGCCAGAATGGGGGTGGGCTGGTTGGGAAAGGCCACTGTTCCTGTCAGACGGGAGGTGGACCAAGTCAGACTACACCAAGAACCTACTGGTGTGTGCAAGATCTGCCATTGGGAGGTGATCTGATAGGGGAGCTTGGGGAACTCTTCTTTCAGGATGTAGTCCCTGCAGATGACCATAGGAAGCTGAAAGCAGCTCGTACCAGGTCAGGTTACAGTACCCAGTGGCATGCATATGGGTCAGGTCTGGGGGTGTTCCAGGCAAGGCCAGTTAATAACACCCATTGGCAGATGTGAGAACCAGGATAGGGTGCAGGAAAGGCTGTGTTGGGCAACAACACCAGCCAGTTTACATTAGGGCCAGGACTGGGGACTGTCCAGGCTGGGCTAGGCTGCAACACCCACCAGCATGAGCTGGAACTGGTCCAAGCCAGGCTGCAGCATGTGACAATAAGTGCTGAGGTAAGGCAGGCCATGCCAGATTGGGCCAGAGCATACAACAGCACACATAAGACCTGGGGGTGGGGGGCAAGCCTGGAAGGGAGGCTATGAGGACTCCCCTCTGGGTCACTGCTCCCACTGGTGAGTGTGAGAACTGGGACTGAGGACAGACTAGGATGGGTAGGACTGCAAAACCTGCTGCCTTGCATGTGAGCTGGGTTAGGAGGACAGTCAGGTTGGGCTAAGTGACAACATCCACCGGTGCGTGCATGAGCCAGAGTAAATGCAGGCTGGTCATGCTTTGCTGCATCAACTAGCAGGTGCTGGGACTGGGAGCAAGTCCTGTCGGGCTAGACTGCAGAACCACCTGGTAAGTGCATGATTCAGGGCTGAGAGTAGGCCTAACGAGAATTGTAGGTACCCCTCTGATAGGCGGCCGCTCTCACCAGTGAGCAAAGGAACCAGGGCTGGGGCAGACCTGGCTAGACAGGTAGTGGCACCCACCAGTATGAGTGTGGGCTAGATAGTGGCATTGATCAGGCTGAGCTAGACTCCAGTGCTCACTGATGTGCACAAAAGCTTAATGGGATGTAGGACGGACTAGATAAATCTGCTGTATACACAAGCCTGTGCAAGAACCAGGGTTGGGGGCAAGCCTGGTGGTGGTTATTGGGGGTCACCCCAAGTAGGCTGCAGTTCCTGCTGGTGTGTGTGAAGGCCAAGTATGTGGTAAGTAGGGTTAGGCTTGGCTGCAGTATCCACTGGTTTGCATACAAGATGGGGCTAGTGACAGAACTGACCAGGTGACTACAACCACCAGTGTGTTCTGTAGGCTGATGCAGTTCATGGATTGAGCCAGATCCCACACTGGCTGACACACAGCAGTCCTGTCTGGATTCACCTCTGGTGAGGTTTCTTTGGGGATTCCTCCAACAACTGGATCACTGGACTCAGAACTCCAACCACTGGATATCACAAGATCTGTGTTCTGACCTGGAGTACATGTTTCAGAACTGTGTCTCCTCAGTTGTTGAGGCCTATGCAGTCAACCGCATGCCTAGATGCAAATGAGGACGTCTAGTATCATTGAGGGCAGATTGGACAGCTCTCACAGGCAGCTTTGACGGCGCATATTTGGGTGAATTGAGACTAAGTTGGACTACATCAGCCAATGGAGGTTGGGAGGATTTCCTCAACTTTGGTGCAATAAAATCAAAGTATCTCAGAACTATAAAAACCACTTAAGCAGCACCCTTGGAATATGCTCCACATTGGAGACCCTGGGATGAAATCGAGTGGTCATCCCCCATCCCTGGGTACTGATGCAGTTGGGCTACTAGGAACAGCCCTATCCACTTCTTTCCCACTTTCCTCAGATAGAGGAAGAAAAAGGGAGATTGCAGACAGTTTCCTCATCCACTTTCCCCCATTCTTCGACCCATCCACTTTCTCCCATTCTCCAACCCTTCCCACCATAATTGGTGGTCCACATGGGGCATGCATCATTCTCAACTATGTAATCATCATCAAGGATAAAATAAATTTATAAAATAATATGAAAGAAAAGCAATAAGCAAAATAAATAAATTGATACTTTTTTAAAGATTTATTTTTTTATTATCTTTTCATTGGAAAGGCGGATATACAGAGAGGAGATACAGAGAGGAAGATCTTCCATCCGATGATTCACTCCCCAAGTGAGCGCAACGGGCCGATACTATGCCGATCCGAAGCCAGGAGCCTCTTCCGGGTCTCCCACGCGGGTGCAGGGTCCCAAAGCTTTGGGCCGCCCTCGACTGCTTTCCCAGGCCACAGGCAGGGAGCTGGAAGGGAAGCGGGGCTGCCGGGATTAGAACCGGCGCCCATATGGGATCCCGGGCGTGCAAGGCGAGGACGTTTAACCACTTGCGCCACCGCGCCGGGCCCATAAATTGATACTTTTTTAAAATGAGGATTTGTTTTTAAGTTTCAGTTACATAAACCCAAAGAGCGAGGCAAAAGCATATACACACTCAATTAACAACACTGGTTATACAATGGAGAGCAACAGACAATCAAAAATCATAACATTACATGTGTGTACAAATACACACAAGAAGTGAATGAAGAGATGTAAACAAAATGGTTATCTCTCAACAGCGAAAATTCAGGTGACTTTATTCCATTTATATTTCTCTATTTGAATTGGTATATTTTAACAACAAATGTGCTAGTTTTCTAATTAGGGGAAGTACACATTTATTACTTGTTTAGTAGAAGATAACTGAGAAGCAGAGAGTAATGCTTGGTTTTAAACAGCTATGCATGGATAGATTTTAAAACAGCTAGGAATGAGTTTATAACGTAAAAGCTATTGCAATAATGTGTTATGTGGTAAAGATTTCAGCGAGGATAACAGACAGCTAGTCATACAGAAAAGAGGGGATATAGTTAAATATTATTCCATATAAGAGACTGAAAACTCTTGGCAATTTTGGAATATATATATATATATATATATATATATATATACCCAAAATAATAGATCAGGTGTGTGGGGAAGCTTATCAGTTGTATGGGTCTATGGGACTATTTTTTTAAAGTAAATTTTTCTATTTGACAGGCAGAATGAGGGATACAGAGGCACCTCTTCTAACCTTTGATTTGTTCCTTCACTCCTCCAATAGTCAGGGCCAGTCCAAGCCAGGAACTCCATCTGGTTTGCCCACATAGGTGCCAGAGACCCAAGTCCTTGAGCCATCATCTGCTGCCTTGCAAGGTGTGCAATAAGAGGAAGCTGAATCAGGACTGGAGTTAGGATCTGAACCTAGGTATTCTCACATGGCATGCCAGTGTCCCAAGTAGCAGTTAACCAGCTGTGTCATAATGCCAGCCTTGATGATACTACTTGTTGCCTGTAGTGCTGCAGCTTCTGCCTCCTAATATTTGGCATGTTCTCATCAGCAAATCAGGCAGACTTGCATTGATTTTCTTTTCATTATTAACCTCATTAGACCTTAGATATAGTTCCTCAAAGGAGAAAAGTGGCAAGTTTGTGTTTGTTAAGAATAGGGAACTACTATGATAGACTTTGTTGCTACAGGGTCAGGTTTCTTGGTTATGCAACAGTACAAATTCTACTTGCTGAACTATTCATTATGTTTATATTAAAGGTGTATGGGTTTATAAATACAGATATGATTTTCCCATCATCCTATGTATTTGTATGCCTTATATACCATTTATATAAACTGTCTCTCATTCATGACAGAGTTTAATGCAGCTATTAAATATACACTACTTTGTACTTAGTATCAAGACAGCTATTTCTTGAAAAATAAGTTCCCTGCAGCCTTTACACTCACGCAAAGTCTCTTTCTCAGTATAACCAACAGGAAATAGCATCATCAATCTGGTGACTTTGGCAAACGGAATGCTGAAGTGAACTTCAGAGAATTGTTCCAATCTATCACTGTACAAATTATTTTGAAGATGGTTGAACAGTCCAAATCCCTTGCGTGGCAGCCAATTTAGTAAATAAATGCTTGAGCTGAATTTTATAGCTGATAAAAGCAGGCACTGAGCAACACCAATTTTGAAAGCAGTTCTAAAAGGACATACTCAGAATCAAGATGGCCGAACAGAGTAAGGACACATTTAAAAAGAGAACTCTTAGCCAGTGTGAAACAAAGAGAACACATTCCAGGAAGCAGGAGAGGACAGAACAATAGCAGAGGGGTACCTGGAGACTGACAGACACAGGAAAGCAGCAGAGATGATGTGGTGTTACAGTGACTGATACCCCAGCAGCATTCAGCCAGCAGTAATCTGAACTCCACCAGCAGCCAGAACTACACCAGCAACAAGGTGCGAAGGGATTTTCACCCAAAGAGCTCAGGAGGTGAACCCAGACAAGGAACTGCCTGTTTGGATGGTGTGTTTGATTTGACCAGGAGAAGAGACAGAGCAGTAGATCCCAGATGGGTGGTGAGGGAACAGGGTGGATTTTGCAACCCAGTCCACCCACTAGAGCCATATTGAGCACCATTTTGCTTAAGGAGACAAGAGCTATGGGGCAGAATTGTTCATGCACTGAGCTGGGCGTGAACTCTTTTCTGACTCAGCAAGCTGCAATAATGTGGCATCCTAGAGGTTCCACACAAGACAGGTCCAGGTAGCCCTCAGACCTGGCGGCCAGCAGATCAAGAACTCTAGTAGTGGCATATCAGGTGCCATTTTGTACAGTGTGGCAAAGGATTTAAGACAGTTGGGACAACAGTGAGCTGGGCATGCTCTGAGATCAACAAGAACTCATTGAGCTCAGTGCATTGCACTGCTCCCACAGGAAAATAATACTGACTATGGCATCATGTGGGTCAAAATAGGTCTGTGTGGACCTCAAACCTAACGGCCAACAGGTTCTGGCAAGATCAGCACCACCAACACCTTAGCTATCTAGATAGGACACCTGGTATCTCACTAATCCTAGGAACTACTCCAACCAGAAGTGGGAGAAAGGTTGTATAGACAATGTTGCAGACTCAGCACAGTATCACAGGAGGTGGAGAGTGGTGAGCAAGGAGCTGGGGGTACTGAGACCATCGTGAAAATCTAACATACGAACCCAGACCTGGAACTAGCTGGAGGAGTGGCACACGTGACTGCAAACAAAGAGCCATGTACCAACTGCAATAAGTAAAATCAAACTGTGGGTGACCCAGCTTAGAAACCTGCCCCAAGGAGAAGACTCTGCTAACCAGAAGTACAATGACAAAGAGCAAAAGAGGAAACAAAGGCAAAATGAATATTACTGAAAACTCCCCTGCAAAGGAGAAAAACCCTTTGCCAACCTCAGAGTTCACTGAGGAAGACATCGAGAAAATGAGGAATACAGAATTCAAAACACTTCTTATAAAACTTCTTAACAACAACAAGAAGCACGTAAAACAGGCACTCAAGGAATTCAAGGAATATGTCACACTGGATATGAATCATATGAAAGCTGATATATCAAAATTGAACAATATAGTGGAGCAAACTAAAAGTACAGCGGAGAGTCTCCAAAATAGAATGAAGGAGGCAGAAGAAAGAATCCCAAAATCAGAAGATATTTCCTGTCACCTGGGAGAAGCAAACAAATAGCTAGAAGCAGAGCTGTGTAAGGCAATATATACATACTGAAAGACACTATTAAAAGGCTCAATATAAGAGTCATGGGAGTCACAGAAGGTGCAGAAAGAGAAGCTGGGTTTAAAAATGTATTTAATGAAATAATAAGGGAAAACTTTCCTAATCTAAAGAAAGAATTGGGAAATCATATCCAGGAGGGGCACAGAACTCCCAAAAGGCTTGACTAAAAATAATATTCACCAAGACACATGATCATCAAGCTCTCTTCAATACAACATAAAGAAAAGATCCTTAAATGTGCATGTGAAAAAAAAATCAATTGACATATAAAGGAATGCCAATTAAACTCCCAAGAGACCTCTCACAAGGAAGCTCCACAGGGCAGAAAACAATGAAGATACATATTCCAGTTTCTAAAAGAAAAAAAAATGTCAGCCCAGGATAACATACCCAGCAAAGCTTTCCTTTGTCTTTGAAAATGAAATAAAATTTTCCATAGTCCAGAAAAGTTAAAAGAATATACCTCTTCCAAACATGCCCTACAAATGATACTTCAAGATGTTCTCTTCACAGAGAAGAGGAATAGCACCAAACAAAACCAAAGGCAAATGCAAAGAACATCTCAGTAAAATAACAGCAGATGACTAAACCAATGAACAACCCATTGGTAAAATGACAGGAACAAATAATCACCCATACATATTAACCCTGAATGTAAATGGCTTAAACTCATCAATCAAACATCATAGATTAGTAGACTGAATTACAAAACAAAACCCATCTATTTGTTGCCTATAGGAGACACATTTCACCAACAAAGATCAGCGGAAACTATAACTCATGGATTTTGATTTTTTTGTTTTTGTTTTTGTTAGTTTCACCGCTTCAAATACTTTCATTCTTCTGATTAAATTCTTCAATGGCTCAT